CTCCCTCCCCCCCCCCCCCCCAGCTGCGTTGGACTTTTTGCTGTTATTTGGCTTGTGCAAATAAGGATTAATGGAAAACAATTGTGTGAAACACTTTCTCAGAAATAGTTACCAAAACAAATAAAATGTCTATTGCCTCTCCACTTTATAAACAGAGCATCAGAAGGGCAAGGCTTTCTTTTTTTAATGCACCTTTTAATTTAAAACCATGATTAATGTTTGCAGTGGGGGAGAGAGCTGAGCCCTTCAAACTCTACCATGTTCTTATTCTGTCATGCACAACTACACTGCAGCTCTAAGTGTCATATAGCAAAACTTGAGTTCATTTGGTATTAAACTAGTCTAGTCACTATAGCACAAAATATGGGCTATAGATACTTCAGGGATCTTTAAAAGTGTAATCAGGTAACAGACTGATTAAGCCATGGCTCAGCAGTCCATAAATCACATCTACCCTTTTTGCTGGATTCTGGAAATAACTGTAACCCAATAGGTTCATTTAAAGTCAGTCTGGGAATAATCTAAGTTTTATTGTCAACTCCTTTGTAGACTACTGTAGCCTGCCTTTTCTTGGGTCCCTGATGCCTGTATTACAGCTTTATTAAGTGCCAAAGTTATCATTATTGCTTCGCCCCTGTTTATAGTACAGGTACTCACAGGCTTTTGTAATTGTAGCATCTCAGCACCCTAGAAAGTTTCTGAGATTACAAATTATTTTGGAAGGTCAGAAAGCTGAAATGTATTTTTAAAATGTTGGAACTTTTTATGGTAGGTGTTGGAATGATTGTGGATTAAAAGTATCTTTGAAACTGAAATTAGAGTTAATGCATCAAGCAGAGTTTGGGGAACACGTATTGAGCTTTGTCACTTCAGACTTATGCAAGTGAAATTAGAGAAATCAAATGCATACATAAAAAAGACATTGATTGGATATTGACAGAATACAGACACTTAAATTTTGCTGAGCTGTCTAGGACCTCACTTTAGTATGATTTTTAGTCTTTGCTGTCATTAACTTGGTAAAAAAAGGTATAAGTGATCTTTGCTAGCCTAAGTACTGCTAGTAATAAGTCTTTCATTATCTGAGTGCTTTTTTTCATAACGCCTTTCTTCATTATTAGATTATGGAATGTCTGAATACTTCTAGTTCTTTTTTCCTTTAAAATTGTATATTGGTTTAGGGGTAACGAAAGTATTTGCGGAAGCCATTTTTATACTGAGAAAGGTATCTAGTGTAAGTATATTTACTCTTATTTTTTGAAAAAGCACTGTAGAATGAAATCACATTTAGTTTGGTACCATGTGCTTTATAGCTTCTGAGTATCTAAAGATTCATATTAGGGAAAATTAAATGAAGGCATTCTAGTTGCACATTACTGTGGGATGGAAAAGCTGCTCTTCTGAGGTTGTTGTTACAAACTTGATGAAAAGCTGAATGATACTGTTTTGCTGACATCCATTTCCACAAACATCAAGCTTTCTCTCCTCCAAAATGAGTAGAAGGCAGTCAGAAGAAAAGTAAAAATGCGGATACTTCTGTGTGCTTCCCTACAAGAAGGAGGCTGAAACTGCAGGAACTATTTCATCTTGGGATGAAATATGTATTTAAAAAAACTTAAAATATACTTTTTAATTTAAAAAATAAAATAAAATTGCATCTTAAAGAAGGAAAGCTGCATTTCAGTGCATGGTAGCAGGCTCCATCAGGCTTAGTTCAATGTATTTTAAAATAAATATTTATGTTGTCTTCCAAGAGCATTAATTTTGTTCCACAGTTTTTGTCTTTGTCTTGGGTGGAAATTTGGATTGGCACCCCTTCATTTGGGTGGGATTTTTTGTATCATTGATAGCAAGAGTCTGCCTTTATAGTACGTCAGAGCTTCAAAAACATAACCATAAAAGGTTTCAAGGAGATTTGCATTCTCTTTCCTGCTGTTTGACTTGACCTTATTGTGCCAGACTCAGTTAACAAGATTGCAGGCCATCCATTTATATTTTGGTGGCTTATCTTTCAAAAGAAAAGTAAATTGGTGTTTGTGGTCTTTGTAATCACAGACTTCACTTCTCACATTCTCTCTCTCTCTCCCCCTCTCCCCTCCCTTCTGTGAGGTTGTGCCAGGTATATTTTCAATGCTATAACTGCAGATATTCTTAAGCAAACTGTCACAGCAGCTACTGTGTCCCCGAAGGAATGTGTGCCTGTTCCACTATCTGATATAATGGAAAGAAACAGCAGGCCTTGCTTAAAAAAGATTTAATCCCAGATTGCACACAGAGCATGCTCAGTGTACAGATTTGCATTAGTTGACTTTTTTCCCCAGCAAAGGTATTTGATTTACAGAACTTTTTTGGGTTTGTTTTTTTAAGAGTTCTAGAATTTTCTGAAAAGAAAAAATTTTATGGGAGTCATCAAACTGCTGACTTTAGAAGGAATTAATTTGGGTCAAGTTAAGTCAAGATGATTGTTTATAAGGGATGAGCTTTCTAGAAGTAGGACAGAAACTAGGGTTTTACAAATCTTTGTGAAACTATTGCATTCTGACATGTAAGTTTGTAGGGGGTTTTTATTTTTAGGTTAGTTTATAGGCTTGTTTTACCCTGTTTCAACAGTCAGACCCAAACTGGCTTCTGAGATACAGGCAGCAAGCTAGAAGTGGGATAGTATCTCAGAGTTTTGGGAGTATACTGTTTCACAGTTACCCCATCACCACCATCTGAATGTAACCTGCACAAGACAGAAGATGGAGGAAGAGCTATTAGAGAGCTAGCTACATGAGAAGATAATTTAATTGTCATTCTTCAGAAAAAAACAGTAAACTTTAAAAAGGTAACAAATACTTCATAATGGACAACAGAAAAATATTATATTTTTCAGAAATCTTTGTGAAACATTTCTGTGAAATGCACGTACTCCTTGAAGGTGTTTTGCTATGAGACCAATTGGTACTATTTTGATGGGAAGACGTTTTGTTGAAACCTTCTGAACCAACTAGTTAAGAGCAGAAGGAGGGTCTCAAGTCTGAAGCCTTTGCTTCACCCATCAGACAGCACATGCATGATTTCAGCTGTCCAAAATTTTCCCTTTAACTATTTATTTTTTCTGATACAATTATGCTGACATTTAAAATCTCAAAGTATTCTGGTTCTTTTACCTTGCGCTTTCTCATCCCTAGTTTGAAAGTTGAGTTTAGACAAGTCCTAAGTCAGGACTGTATGACCGTGTGGGGTGCTAGAACAAAATGTTCTCTCAGGGTGTCACCATAGAAACATTTGCACAGTATTGAGCTGCTAAATCCAAACAAGCACATGCTGCAGTTCTTAGAAATTGTCAGACAGTGTAGATTGGCCTCCATATTCTGAGTTATGTTTGTGGGTGAATGCTTGCTTACAAACAGGGAAAGCTGTACTAATAATGAGAAGCTGGTTAAATAAGCAGCTTGTATGATTAAAAATTTTCAAAGTAATTTTGAAAGCAGTATTGAATTGTTAAAAGCCAAATCTAACCCTTCTTCAAATGAACACAGCTAAACTCTAGTGAGGTTAAGAGGCTTGGTTGCTAGAAAACTGGGAAGAAACTTCCAAGACTTGAACTATTTTTTTCCTCAGAAATGGGAACATAGAGGTGCATATAAATATCTAATAGTCTATAAAATCTGGAGTTACTCCTGAATCCTAACTGACCCAAAGAAACTGGAGGCTGGAATGATTGTCACTTTCTGTGATTGTTATGATGGCACCTCTTGGCTTCCCCATCAGCCATCAGTTCCACAGCATGAGAGTTCTCAAGTGACATGCCAGCTCTAGAGTTCTGCCCTGTTTACAGTGCTTGTTTTTTCTTAACATATTTGATTAATGCAGGCTTAAAAAAGAAGGGATTACAGGCTGGTGTGTGTTTATTTCAAGAGGATAAGCTTTAGCGCATTGCACAGCCATGTATATCTTGTGAACTGTGTATGGATTAGGAGTAGAAATATATGCTGCCTTTGCTTTTATTAATGAAATATACCAGGTACACATCATCATCTTGCCTATCTTAACCATCTTTTAAACTGAAATTTTTTGATACTTGAGGCAGGTAGGGGTGGAGTAGAAGTGGTGAATGAACTGTAGGCACCAAAGGCTGGAGGAAAAGACATGTTGTTGACCTGCAGGTAATTGGAATGGCTGTAGGGTAGCTAGGGAAGAAAATGGTTTGCCCTTCTTTCCAGAGCCTTAAGACGGGGAGTAAGGGGTAACTTGCTCTAAGCCTCCTTGCAGGCTGACTCCAGAGACATCTGGTATGAGCCAGCTCTCTTCTTTCCCAGTGTCTTTGTTTTGTTGTATAATGGTAGGCCTCGTCCTAAATTAGAGCTGTTTTATAATTGATTTTGTTGAATAACATGGCTTGATTTGGCTAAATATGGAAAAAATGCATGTTAGGAAGTAAAGAGTAAAAAATGTATTTTAGTCTGTGGTATAATACATGTGCTCTTTGTGTAACACGTGCTTGAATGTCCACATATTTTATTGTAAAAAAAGTCTAAATATGACAGTAGTAGTGTTTACTGTAGGCAAACTTTGTGAGAGGCAGACCAGTGCTGTCTGGATTGGAGATAAATTGTACAGACCATTTGCCAGTTTGACTTATCTAAACCTTGTAGCAAATGAAAACTTTTGTAACTTTGGTCAACTATGTGTTAGGTTTTTATACAGGTGGAGCAAAATGTGTTGATATGCTGGGACTACATTTTTCTTTACTGCTTTTTGCAAGATGTGAACTCCAGATAAAATCTTAAAATCCTGTTTCTCCTTTCCTGTTACAGAGTGGTAGAACAAGAAGCTCAGAGATCACAGCAAGTTTCCCAGGACAGAAAAAGTCCCAGCAGAACCAATGGCTGCAATGAAAACAGGCCCATTGACATCCTGGAAATGCTTAGTAAAGCCAAGGATGAATATGAACGAGTAAGGAAATGTCTCTTTTTTTTTTTTCTTTTTCCTTTTTTTTTTTCCTGTTTTTCTCCCCACCCCCCCAAACAAATAAAACCACTACTTCCACTTCTGAATAAGGGGCTTAGGACATCATATGGAGTCCACTGAAATAGCATGCCTTGTGATTTCTGAGAGATAGATGATAGAGAATAATTCTGATATACTAAATTGTCCTGTGCAATGCATTCTAACCCAAGACTGCAAAGTAATGCACCTAATCCATAATTTAATGGGCCTGTATATTCTCATGTTTGAATTGCTACCTTCGGGGGGGGGAAATATAATTTTAAAACCAGATACCTGGAGATGCAGACACAACAAAATATTTTTCTAAAGTAGGTGCATGGGCTGCTTAATCTCAGTACTTGACTACTGTCCTGTTTTGTGAGATCATTGTCAAAGGAAATGTGAACAAATAGGTATATATGTAACACTGTAGAAGAACATACCACTGAACATGTCTGGGTTTGTGATCTTGAAGTTCCACTATTGTAAATATTCCTTACAGTGGCTGACACTTTGGTTTTTCAGTTTTTTCCTCTGTACTGAAAGTCACTGGAGGAGATCCGCTATGATTCATGACATAATCAAGAGCATTCATTGCGCTGCACGCTAAAATGCTTTAGCATGTTGAATAATATAACAGAAGCCCTTTGTGAACTATCCCATGTCTGTGATACAAGCACAGATGTACAATGGCTTAGAGAGAAGGGGTAATGTGGGGAAAAATTCATATCTTAAAACTGTGGGATTTGCAAGTTGCATGAGTTCATAGGTTTTATTTCTGTAATTATTACCTTAGTGGGCAACTCTTTGCCTACTTTTTCATTATTTTTCATTTTTAAGAAAGCCTAACTAGAAACTAGTTTTTAACACATCAGCTGTGTTTTGTTCAAAGAGCAGGCATTCTCTGCCATTGTTTCAGTAGCCTTGTTTTCAGACTGATGTCTCCTTCCCTCCCTCAAGTACACTTTACTAGAAACAGTCTCTGATTTCAGGCAAGATAGGGTGAATACTGATTGTGTGATCCAACTTGAAATGTAGCTTGATAGACCCATTTTACAACGATTTCTACTGCTGTGAGAAAATTTTGTCTGTGAGAAGAGCAAATAAATTTGTACCCAACAGCGTCTGTCTCTTCTTAGTCTCAAAAGAAGTCTTGCGGTATTAGAGATGAGAGATTTAGTATTCAGTACCTTTGCAGACTCTATGAAGCATATTTTTAATAGCTGTAGACTAAGTATAACAATACTGTTCCCCTATCCTTCTGTTCCCCAGTTTACTACTTCTGTCCTGTCTACTGTGTGTCTATCCTTTTAATTGATTTCAGAAGGGTGAGTCTGGTCTCTTTTGCCAGTGCTAAATTCACAAGTTTACATAATGAAGGAGAAAATTAGGAAAGAATTATGTGATATAGTCCTGAGGACCAAATTCATACACGCAGGACGAATATAAGGGTAATATGTGGGAGATCCCAAAAAGGAAACAAAGATTCTGAACATGCCTCTCCCCAAGTATAATAATGCAAGAATGTGCAATAGTAAAGTAATGTGTGAGTATAACATTGCAGAGCTGTGGTATAGTTTTTGCTGTTGTACTGGTGGGAGAAGAGTTAGCACATTAGTAGAGTGCTTGATTCCTTCCAGAACTTGCTTGTGCGGTAGATCACAGCAGAGTTCCTTTTGAGTACGTGGGATTTGAGTCTCTGTAGTATTCTAGATTGTTACAGTACAAGGTGGGATGAGGAGAAAAGAATGAACACGTGGATTAAGCCTTGTATGAGCCAACTTAACTTGTTACTTTCTGACGTAGATTGAGGGCAGGTGAATGCGACAAACCATACAATATATTTGACCCAGGCTAGATACTCATTTCTGAAAATCAGTAATGTGTTTTTTGAACGCTTTAAATACAGATTTTTAAAAAAAAAAAATTGCTTCTGGTTCTCTGAACATCAATGCTGTTTGGGGAGAAGGTGTCTTTGTACGAAGGCCAGCATTGTAGAAGTAGTAGCTTTTGTGAGAGCACAGAAGGAAGTATCAAAACCCGAATGACTCATCTTTCAATGTTTATCCATTGAGACAGTTTTGAAGAAATTGAAGGGTTTTGGGGAAGGGGGGGAGAAGAAAAAAGAAAACATCCCACAAGGACTTACTGTTTTGATAGTGCCCTCTTAGGGTGTGATGAAGCCTTTTCTCCCTCTTTGTCCTTGCAGTATTGGATAATACACATTTCCAACAGATGGCTCTTAAAAATGACTCAGAAAGGATATTCTAGCTTCTCCTCTCCTAATTTTCAGATCTTTTTCATGTGAGAGTACTGAAAAGCTTTTGCTAGAAATGAAGTTCCTAAGCATCATGGATGAAGCTCTGTAGACAAGTAAAATATTGATAAACAGGCCATGGTATGCAGATTTTGTGGTGGACAGTTGACAGCTGTGGTGCCTGTAATACAACAGGGAAATATGCAGGGCATAGACTACAGTAGAGCTACTATATAATTGGGGTTTTTGTGTTGATCTTGATTAGTTGTGTGTGTGTGTTGTTTCTTGATGCTTTTAGAACACTAGTGAAACTAGAATAATTAAAAAATTTCCCTTTTGTATGTGTATGTGAACTGTAAACTGAATCTGTTCAACATAATCCGATAGCCTGCTATGATTGTAGTTATGTAGAAGTTGCCAGATAAACTCAATTGAGCAATGTTGGTCACTTTTCAAGCAAACTTCTTTGGAGAATGTTCTGTTGACCGCTTCAGCTTTAGCAACAAACCTCTGGCACGTTAATTTTGGAACTCCTTGTAGGCAAGGTATGTCAATGTAACATGATGAAGTCACCAACTTGAAGATGGCTTCTTCAGAGACCTTCCCTGTCTTAATTTTTTTTTTTAATTATTTTATGGCACTCGGTAATTACACGTGAATTTGTATTTAGGAGCAGAACGTACTTATCTGCCTGGTACATTCCAGATGGATCATACAGTAATCCTTGTGTGCAGCCCACATGAGATTGGCAGAGTGTCAGCATGAGAAGGGGGCAGAGAGTGAAAAAGAGATTTATGAAGGTCTGAGTGATTTAATCTAGGATTCCAAATCAGCTTAATCCTTCAAGTACTTGCTACATCAAGTCCATATGTGAAAATGAATGAATTCTGAGATACTATTTTTTTTTTTGATGAAGTGAATGGATGCTCTTTATAGTGTAGTGTTTTGTGTGTGTTTCAGTATGAGCATGGAAACATACTGCAGCTTATCCTCTACTGAAGAGAAAACTATGCTTGTCTGATTTTTTTTGTAACCACAAGGCATCCAGTATTTCAGGCACAAAGAGTTTTGACCTTCAAGTTAGTGGTTAAAAGTTGAAAAGATGGGAGAAGCTGCTTCTTGCCTCTGTCCCTAAATCACAATATATAGTCTTGATTTTGTATCTATTGCTTTCAATTAGAAATGGAAAACAAAAGAATAATAAAGCTGAGATTGTTTTTTAAGTTGTTTCTAAAAGTTTAACCTAGATTTTGCTGCTGTGGGTAAGTGACCAGAGCAATCGTTATGTGTTGTGCTAATGTTCACCTCTATCATATGCGTAAGGTGTAGTTTACCTATGGAAAGCTAGACTGTTCTACAGTTTGGGTTTTTTCACTAGTGATTTAAACTGTAATACAATTCCTATATTTGTTTATGTATATATTTATTAAAGATGAAAGTCAACTCGATCTGTAAACATACTGTCTGTTTTTGTCTTGTTCACAGAAAAACAAATTAACAGCTTCTGAAAATACATGTACATGGTTAATTAAATCTGGTGGAAATAAGTCCGTGACAAGCTCTCTTTCCAGCTACTTAGAATGTTTTCTGACAGGATTTTTTTTCTAAGCTGTTTCTACTTTGGGTTTTTGATTTAGTGAAGTGTAGCAAACTTCCTCGTTAGCAGCTAATGCAGATAAAGGATGTAAAAGCCCTTTTTTTTAATATTTCTTGGTGAAAACAGTATGAAGCCAGTTGTCGGATTTTTTTGAATAATAAAGAGTAAAAGCTTTATGACTACATATAGTCATATGGTGGATGTCTTGGTATGATTTTTATTTCCTAAAATTTGTGAATTCCACAGTGTCTTACAAAAATCGGTACTCTGTACATAGTCTGTATTTCAGTCAAAGTGCCATGTAAACAGGATTGTAGTAGTGGGTAAATGTAGACTTAAACTCATGTATTTGTGTTAATTTTTCTTCTTTTTTTTTTTTCCCCCTCCCCCCACCCAAGAATCAGATAAATGACTTAAGTATTATATCAAGTTCTGGAATGCAACAAAATGCAAATCCTCCAAAGCCAGAAAGCACAGAGCCTTCAGAACAAAAAACTTCATTACAAGTGAAAGAGCAGGTATGTTTCATCCAACCCTAAATAAGGTGCTATTTTTTTCATTTAGTACTTCGTTTTGGTACGAAAATATTTTTTTCTTAGAATGCCTGCAGTGTGTTGTCTGAAGATATTATTGCTTTAAATAAACTAATGGGTTTGAAGAGTTTTAGGATCCTAAATTCTGTCTTTTGACTTAGCATTTTAAAATATGAGGCAATGTCCACACTGCTGTGAATATCCCAGTATGTTTAAATGGGCTAACTTGGATTCTGGAAGAAGTCAGTCTGTGGTAATGTGCAGGATGACTTGCAGAGCCAGGAAGCAAGAAAACAATTACCTCTGCCACATTATTGGACTGAATATGGCATCAGTTAGCTGTACATGTTGTTGCAGTCTTTCACACATGAACTCAAGCCCTGTTTTCTCATGTCTGAGAGATTTACTGAAGGTTTATCTGTGCTGCCTTCAAAGCCACAGTCCTGCTAACTTAAATCGGGAGTGAATTGTTAGTCAGAAATGGAAAGCGCTTCAGTCATGGCAGCACCAAAGTCCCTTTGGCGTAACTGGAAGTGTGTTTACCTATCTTCTCCCATACTTCTGTAGCTTGCATTGAACCTTTGCTTGTATCACTGTTTGGTAATGATATCAGTCAGCTTGGCTGATTCCTTCATGCTTATATTGTGGAAAAAGTGTGTGTGTTTTTTGTTGGTTTGCTTTGCAGTTTTTTGTTTTGTTGGGGGCAGGGGAGGAGTATTGTTTGGGGTTTTTTTCCTATGTTAAGAACTTTTTGACAATATATTCCTTCCTCTGCAGGAAGGGAAATATTTAAAAAAAAAAAAAAAAAAATTGGGGAGGGATGTTGCTCAAATTATAGTAATACGAGTGTTGAGATCTGTTTCAGGTAAGTGCAGATACAGCATGTTGAATCACCATGTATCCAAATATCTACAAATTCTAAAGCTTGGTGTTACTACTGTAATTAAAGTTTAAACTACAGTAAAAATGCTAGTGAAAATAACCTGCTTTATGTAAATGATGTCTTTGAACCACGGGAAACTTGTTACAAAATACTTAGTATCATCACTGGAGTGGCTGGAACAGGTAGCAATAGTTCAGTATTTGGCTCCGTTTTCTAGTAAGCATTTCAGCACAAGGAAGCTGTAACTTCGTACAAGATTTTTTAGAGATTAAAAAAAAAATCTGCAATAACTAAGTTCCCTGTAACACCTAAATAACTTAGGCCTACTTACAGTGCCACCCAGTGGGCACGGAAAGGTCAGTAGTGGTTTTCCTCAGAACATACCCCACTGAGGTAAGCTGCAAGGCCTGCCTTCTGCCCTTGCCATAGTTTACACTTGTGTTTCTGATGCAATAAACCACCGTGTCTGTGAAATGAAATGCTCTATGAAAATGTGTGCAACCTTGCACTTAGTACTTGTAAACAAAATACTTTGTAGTAGTAATAATTTCCAGTACAGGTTAGGGCTTGGGTATGGGCAGCAGGAATCTGTTATGGGGTAGTAACAGTTAATGAATTAAATTGGGGGTATGGAGTTTGCTGGGATTATTGGCTATCACAGTCCCCTCTACCCCTCAGCAGCACCTCTGCTTTTGAATCAGCACAAGTGATAGACTGACCCCTGGCAGCCAGCTCTGCTTGCTGCATGCCTGGTCTTGAGACCTGGTAGCAGAGTTTCCTAAGGCTTTGTTTTAAAAGAAGATACTTTCTTTTGGATCACTCCATGTAGACTGTACACAATCAGCTGAAGTGCCCCACCTGACAGTGCATGGAATTGCAGAACAGAAATCAAATAACTAGCAAACGAAAAATTGGAAAGATAAGCTTCTAACAGATTGTTCTGAAGTAATTCAAGGGAAACAGTAGATTTATAAAACAGGTGAAATGGTGTATTTTTAATTCTGTTGAGCTATTTAAAATTGTAAGTGCAGAGATATTGGAAAAAATTAATTGGGTAATAAAAGTAAAGCTAGTTAACTGGGTTCAAATATATTACAAATGTGTTTGTTCTTAATCACATTTTTAATAACACGGACAGCTGGAAGACTACTGGAAAAACATTCCATTTCATCTGTAAAAATACATTTTTCATCTAACTGAAACATGTGACCAGTGGACTTAAAGTGTGCATATAAGTACGGTGAGATTCCTAAACCCCCTCCAAAATGTCACACTTGTATGTTGATTGACTAACTTTATTTCATGCTAAAGATATCACAGACTTGGGAATAAAAATAAATGTTTTCTCTGTGATATTCTGAAGTTCAAGTTTTTTATCTTGGCAGTTCAAAATGAAAATCAGTTGTATCATGAAATGCTTTTGTGCCAGTGATTGGCAAAACTGAACTAGAACACTGAAATTAAACTTTATAGTGCCAGCTCTGACTGCTGGTTCATGTTTCAACACATCTGAAATTATTTCTGGAGAAACCCTCTGAGGAGCAGTCTGTTCCTATCAAGTAAAGTGATCATGTTGCCTTTTTGCAGCCCCCGCTGATAAGGGTCTTCATAACCCACGGAGTTGATGATACGCTCAAAATATACCTCAGCCAGAGTTGGGACAGGCAAAAGATGTGTTCTATACTTCAGGCTGGAAATTAACTTCATGTTTGAGACTGTATCCACGTAAGGGGCTAGTCTGACTTGGATCAGAGCATGGTAGAGATTTCTGTTTATTACTTGACTATTGTAATGTATTAATGAAGGAAAACTAGTCAATTTATCATACTGAAGTGAAAAGCTGAGTCTGAAATGAGATGGAATAGTGATTTTTCTTTTAATGGAATCTTTACAGTTGAAGGACAGGTCTCCAGAACAGTAGGATCGGTGGAGAAAAGTAAGAACAACTTTTTAGGAAGAATTCCTAACATAATTAACAAGGTTTATAAACTATAGATTAGTATAGAGACATATAGAATGTCTCAGCTGCAAAATGAAAGTGTGCCTGACTTTAAGTTAGCTAAAAATGGGTAACAACAATGGCAGTAGAGATTAGTAACCTGGGCAGAAGTCAATATGATTTCAAGCTCAAGGGTTTTTTTGTTAGGCTACTTGCATGCTACCTGTACTGCCGTGCTTTCACTGCTGTTATCTGTGCTAATAAAATTAGAGCTAGCATAGCAATGTCATGGTACAGTAGTTGTTGTTATTGTAAAATAGCATCTTTGTTTAGACGTACCGTCAGAATACACTGGAATTGTGCTGCAGGCCATTCAGTCTTCTGAACAGAATGTTGTATTTTAGTCCAGCTGTTTTACATAACTTCTGGTCCTGTGCAACCTAAAAAAAAAAAAAAAAGGAAAATTTTGAGGTTGAGGGTGTTAATAGCTTTTTCTTTTCTCTTTAGTGAGGCACATTTTTAAACATTTTCAGCAAAATATTTGAAGATGATATCCTTAAAATCAGATTTTTCTAACAGTGTCAGTGCTGTAGGCTAGATATATATTTTTGGGAGAAACTAAAGGACTGGTAGATGTAACTGTGTGTATATATACACACTTTTCAAGGCGATATATATACATATGTTTAGGTTTATACAGATTCTTTTACCTATTGTTACATCTATCGCATTGTTAATGAAAAGGGTGAGAAGAACTGTCTAGGCATGTATTGCTAGATCAGTTGTGTACCTTCAGGTTTCTTTGTTCCTTTCCCATCTTTTAGGCCATTTAATTATTTCCAACTCTATAAATTCTATGTGGATTTTGTTCAACATGTATGTTTCCCCCTCGCCCCTGAAGTGCCTTGTGTAGTTCTGGCTGATCGATGATGGCAGGCGCCATCTTAATGACAGTCTGTGCATAGAAGGCTGTAGAGAAAAAGCTTACATAGACAGGATGTTCCTTGTAAATGAAATTGATTTCAAAATTCCTGTAAATAGGGCACACTTGATATCCAAACTGTATTTTAAATGCATTTGACCTAGTTGTCTTTCATAGTTTTCTTGAAATTGTAATAGACCGTGTGAGATGCACAGTGGTATGTATATTTCTAAACTGAAAACTTCCTGTTCCCTTCTTTCTAGCCATTTCAGTCAAGGCAGAAGCATCTGACTTTGGAGGAACTGTTTGGAACGTCTGTACCAAAGGAACAGCCCGCAGCTCCGTATCCCAATCCAGAGAGAATGGAAAAGTTGCAGACTGACACCTCTGCCAGAGAGCAGCACAGCTTGCTCTTGCCTTTTTCCTTTGACCAGTCAACAGTAATACAACAATCACTAGGGAAATCTGAAAGTCCAAGCGTTAAAACCAGTGCCAATCCTTTGAAAAAAAAACCACCTATGCTAATACCTCCAGCTTCAGTTTCCCAGCCTGATGTAAAAAATGTTTCAAGCTATTCAGTTCGTTTAAGCCCTATTCTTAATTCAGCCTCGACAATGGAAGCTGCCCCTGCTCAGATGCTTCCTGGCTTAAAACAAAGCAACAGTATAATGCACGTTATGCAGCAAGCTGCCAAGCAGATATCCCCACTAGTGAATCAGCCGCCATCTGAAGTGAACCACGCTCCACAAAATCTAATGGCTGGCCAAAGCCAGCTTATAGCACCCTTGATGTCAACAAATACAGGAACTGTCTCAAATACATCCCATACAAGTGTTGATCTTCTCCAGAAACTCAGGTTGACCCCACAGCATGACCAAATGCAACAGCAGTCTCTCACTAAGACTTCCTTAACGCCAAACATCTCTGCCTCGGTTGGCCAACTTGCAACACCAGAAAGCTTCAAAGAATCTCACAGTAAGCCATCAACCTTGAACAGCAAGATAATCTCTCCCCTTCAGGTATTCTGTGGGTTTTTATATCCATGAAGCTTTAAACTGTTTTTAGACTACATGTATTTTCCCTTGGAAAATGTGCTGTTAGTTATTTTTAAAAGGCTAATATATAAGGACTTCCACTGTGTGATAGTGATTGAATTGCTAACTTAGAAATCCAATTTCATTAGTTTTCTATCATTAGCATCTGCTATCAGTGACAGACCTGTCTGTAGAGGAGGAGGTTTTTTCAAGCTGGTGCTGTTAGGAGTTGAATAAGTCCTAAAGAATTCATCTGTACTTGTGTCAGAAAAATACTGCTAAGAACTGATGATCTGAGAAGGGACAGAAGGTTACAGACTGATCAGCGTTATGAGAGTTGATGCTGTGGAAATCTAGCCTGTACCTTCTTTGAAGGTACAAAATTAACCATTTCCTGCTTCTGGTTATTTTGCTTTGGATGTTTTGTACTCCTTCAATTTTGACCCCCTTCTGCTGGGAATACCTGTGGGCTACACTGAGATACTGTTAGTTATTTAGTAAAATGGATTGTTAACTGATGTATTTTGTTTAATTGACCGCCTTGGTTTATTTTATCCTAGTATCGCTTACAAAAGACCTCTTAAATTTTTTATTTCTTGGGGGAGAATCTGTGGTCTATGCCTTAATATAAGCCAAAGCAGTAAATTTGTTTTGAGAGACTAGGTGAAAATGTCACTGCTAGTCTGTTAAGGTTAATGCGTGTGGCTTTGTGTTATAAATTATTTTCAATTAGTGTTGCTCTGCTGTATAATTGGCTATCTCAGTAGTAAAGACACTAATGAATTTGGGTTATTTGATTTCTTTTTTCTCCAAAGGGAGTAACTTTCTGTAGTGCCCATCTCTGAGGTTATCCAGAGACTTCTCTTTGTTTTGTTGCGTTTTTATTTTATTTACAGTCATGCAGACTTAAGCCAGTGTTCGATCGTGTCTTCTTGCATCTTGGGTACAATGATAATGCAAGAATAAAAACCACCTAACTGAACTACTTACAGCTATATCTGTATGAATTTCCTAACGTTTATTATTATCCAGTGCTTGCCGCTGGGTTTTAACAAGATCTTTGGTAGCCCTGTCTGGGTCAGCTGCTACTCTTTGCTATGATATGGTGATGACTTACTCATAACAGAGAACTAATCAAAAGCTCAACTCTTCAGCCTGTAACTTGTCCTAAGCATTATTTTAGAATACCCTGTATTTTTCAAGTGTTGTTTTTCTGTCCTCAGAAGAGTTATCCCTGTCTTAATGTTTAAGAAATCGGTATGTTTTCATTGTGGTGTCTTTCTAATTACCTTATTTCTAATCTACTGCCTTTGTTCTTGAAAATTTTCAAGATGACTGTGACTGCTACGTGCTAGGATTATTTTACTAGCGATCACCTCTCGAGATGTTTGGACTGATTCATTTTGCAGAGGGAGGAGGAGGTCCAAGTACAGCATTGAGCAGCTATCTTGATCTGGTGTTGAAGAACTGTACATTCTGAGCAGTATTTTTCTTTTGTATACTACTAAACCTTGGTACAGATTTGACTGAAGATTGTGACATCTTTGAACACTTAGAAAAGTTGGCTGGGTTTATCCGTAACTGCCCTTGACTGCATTTATTCAACATCTGCTTGATAGCCTTGGGAATTAGCTCTTCATATGCCAGTCTTATACCCTTTTTTTTTCCTTCCACCATGTCCACTGTGTGTACATATTTTCATTAGACAAAATTCTCCGTAGTCCAAATATACTCTCAAACTAGCAAATGACTTCTTAAATCTTGTGTAATTAGACTTAAGAATTTGATCTTGTGCTTGCTACCACTTCATAAAGCTAATTTTATTTTTGTCATTAAGGACTATCAATTCCCTGAGTGTTTTTCATTGCAGTTCAAGTAAGCTAAGTACTGTCTGTTGCGAAGGGTTTTTTCCTGTTCTGTGTTGCCAAGAGGTATTCCAAATGGCTACAACAAGCCTTTCAAAGAATGCCACAGGAATTTACTAACGTACCTTATCTACGTGCCTTTTATTGTATTTTCTAATATTTTATAATATTATAGTCTTGAAATCTGACTAAAGAAATAACTGGATGCTGTTTGTAAAGGTATAAAATACTTCTGAAATTCTACCAGAAAACAGCATTTAATTTTTGTGGAGGTGATTAGACCGAACTCCTAGGAAAAAAAATACTGAATTTAACCTTCCTGGCAATTTACCAAACTTATTACAAGGTACTGAACTCTTCACTTCGTAGCATTTGTTTTGTTCCCAATTTCAGTGTTCATGTTTAGAATTTTTTTTAACTGTAGTAACTGTGTTTTGTTGTGGCTTTACAGGTTTGCTGTAATATTGAAAGCATAAAACATAAATTCAAATCTTTCCTCTTTTTCCAATTTCCCATTGATTATATCACTTTTACAAAATGAATAGCATTACATCTAAAATCTGCTGAAATTTACATTTTTGTGCTTTCATAAAAACAGAGAACCACCACTGGAAATTGAGCTGTGGATGATAACTTGTGAATTATGCTTTCTTTTTAACTTAGACTGTACAACAAAACAAGGAATCAGAAGTATTTCCACAGCCGAAGACTTTGTCTAAAGCAAGTCAAGTAAGTGAATAAATACTTCTGCTAATTGTTTGCTCGTTTTCTTAAAAAAAAAAAAAAAGGGGGGGGTAGAGGTGTAAAACTGGTAAGCAGTTGGTATCTCAACTAGTCATTGCCCACTGACCATATTTAAAGTGCTGTGATGAAGCAGAAAGAAGCTGTACTGAAGCAAGGGGGAGTTTCTGTAGACTACTATGAACGAGTACACTACTCGGTTGTACAGTGCCTCTTATTGTTGATGCTAATGCAGAAAAGAGAATCCATTTTTCGATCTGCAATCTTGCATTCATTTTGCACCATTTGAACTGTTTTTTTTAATCTTGTAAGCAAGCAGTACTAATGCTATAATATTGCAGTAGGGTCTATTAGCCTTAGCCCAACCTTAAGTACCCCAGAGGCATAAAATGCAGTCCTTGCCTTGCTGTCTCTTTCAGTTTTCCTGAGATACCTTGCATTTTATGAAAAAGATACCAAGCAAAAAAAAAAAAGAAGGAAGATGGAGGAAGAAAAGAATGACAAGCATTTGTTACTGCAAAACTTTCTAATAGCAAGTTTTAGTGATCTGACTACAGATTTAACACTATTAGAACTGCCTTTGAATAACAGTTCAAAATAATGTCAATATAAAGTTTCAGGTTGCAGTTAAAAAAAAAAACTGGTAATAGTCATGTCTTCAAGAATTGTTTTTAATTATGTATTCTTTTCAGGATACCATCTGTAATTTAATTCTACTTTTCCTTTACCTACCTCCTCCTTTTTCAAATCTGTTAAATTGCCTCATTCTAGCCCAACTTGCACTACATAAAAGCAGTTTTAGTAGCGTGCCCAGATCTGATTGTGAAGACAGTAAAAATGGTCCTGCTTAAAGTAAAATGCTGTTTTAGCTACTGGCCTGCTATAAGACAAGCCATACAGTCTGTTCATGATATAGCAAATAATCATCTAAATAAAAGCATTTTACATGGTTATTGGAATTTTAAGAAATGTGTGCATGTTGTGTGGTAAACTGCGTTTGCTCGTTTAAACACGTTGTCTTCAGCTGAAATCCCATGCTGTAAGTCTTCACAGTTTTGACTATAACAGAATCAATCTGCTAGTTCTACTGTTGTTGATGTTGTTATATATGCATTAACTTCAGATGGCTTTGCAGTTTTTTTTCTTCTGAAGATTTTTGGTTATCCAAAGGGAACTCTTTCTGCTGACATATCAAACATCTTGATATATCACTTTTAGTCTTGCTTTCTTTTGAGTGAGATTGGCTTGTTTATTTTCTTTTTTTTTTCCCCACCATGTTGGTCATTCTGGAAGCATGAGCAAGATGTAGATTATCATACTGAATAATAATTGCAGTTATCAGGAGATGTCAGAGTTGCTCAAAGCTGATGTTTATTCACGTCCACTTTATGCAAATATAATATTCCTATACATTTGCAATTTATGTTTAAAAGGAAAAGTGGTGAAGGCAGTGTGTGGATTTCTGTAATTAAATGGACACAGACCTGTGGAAGAATGAGGTGGGAAGATAGTCCTCAAAATATTCCTGTCTCCCTTCCCCCCAAGGGAAAATTTACTTAGAATGAGAATTTTTCAATGTACTCCAATGCTTTAATTATAGTTCATCAGTCATTTTAAATATCTTTGAGATACTTTACTTCAAATTATAAGTGTATTTGTTGGAGGCCATAGAAGCGGGGAGGGGCGGGAAGCAGGACTAGCCTTTCTGTAAACTCCCAAGGAAAATAATAATTTGCAAAACAACTACAGGCTCCTTCGATTACCTAGGTGAAAAGCTCATCTCTTATTCTACGTGTTATGTTTCAAAAATTCTGGAAGGTAGCAACCACATGAGGAGGAAGGAGTCTGCATACAAGAATATTGAAGACTGTTACCTTCTTCAGCTTTTAAAATGAGAATTACTACTGATATTTATCTTCATAGGTAGATATTTCTTCATTAAGAGCAGCTATTCTGTAATATCTGACTGAATAATAGTGGCTACAATTTTTTTTTTATGCTCGTCTCTCCAGCCTTTATAACAGCATTCATTCTTACTGGACACAGTGCTTATTAATTTTCTGTTCTTTTTTACAGGTTGCACCTCCGCAGTTTGTGACAGCCACAACTACAGTAACGCCTTCAATCCTCTTGTCTCCTAGTGTTTTTCAGCAATCAGCTACAAAAGCTACTGAAGTGGAGAATAAAGCCAATTCCTCTTCGCCTTTAACACTTGGAACAACAGAAGTTCAGACTATACCTCCTACTGTTCTCAGTAGGTCGCAGCTTCAAGAAGCACTGATACATCTAATAAAGGTCCTGTCTTTACAGAGCTCAAATTCTGAGGGATGGGGTTCCAAGTACAGTAGCCAGTACTGAGAAATTCTGTACCCCTATAACTCCTTTTGCCCTGAAACATTACAAAAGTTGTTCCTTTCTGTTGGAAGGGGTAGATTACTCTACACTGTACACATAGTATGGCACAGCTTGCTCCTTTTGGTTGCGAGATGGAGGACTTAGAAGGACAGAGCTGTACATTGGATGTGTTCATTCACATCCCTATGAATTTGTGGGTGGGTGAAGGAAAAGTTGCACTAGTAGAAGCCCTGGTATGGGGATGGGGGGGTTGGTTTTGTTGTTTTTGTAAGTGTTCCTGCTTTTCCAAGGAAAGCTTTCCTGTTTCCAGTTCCCTAGAACTGTTCCTGATCTTTAACTGAAGTATGTGTCTTTGAAATGGAAATTGTAAAGTTCTAGTTCTGCCATTTCTAGGGACTAAAAAGTTCAGTTGAATTAAATCTGTGATGTTGGGAGTAGCCATGCAGTGAGATCATTTTGACCTCTAACGTCATGGTGAAGTTGCCATGAATGGCAAACCGTTCTTTGTTAACTCAGGATTCTCTTGCCCCCTCCATGCTGATGTTAGTAGAGCTTACACCCAGAATGCAAGTCTAAAAATAGCAAACAATATCTTCCCAGCGATAAAGTTGTTAGGACCAAAAAGGGCAGCTACCAGATCCCATCATCAGCTAGGTTGCCTGATTTATCTATGTTGTTCCTTTTTACATAATGTTTTTGTGTATTGGTGTGCATGGTTTTTTTTCTTTTTAAAGACTTAAACTACCTTACTTGTAAGTCTTGCATCTGAGCTCAACTGCCAGAAGTCTTATTCTCATTAGAGACATAGCGCACCGATTCTCACCCAGTAGTCTGAGGAACATCATTGTGGTGATCAGAGAGCTGATTGGAATATTTGTCTCTAATCTTCTCTTTATGTAGAGAGAGAGCTGAATGAAGACCAAAATAGGCATACCCTGCAGCATGGGAGTACTTGCACAGCACTCCAAGCAGGATACCAAATTTGCTATGCAGATATTGTAAAAAGAATATTACATCTTCAAGCTAGGTGATTAGATACCAGTTTTGTAAACTTGTTATTTGAAGGAATTAAACTCAGAAAATATCTCTAAATATTGTCTATAGGTTAAAAGAATTCACTCCCAGTAATGCTTTGACATGAGAATTCTTGTATAACACACTGCAATCCCTTTCAGGCTGGTCTGACAGATAGAAGTAACGTTATTTCTGACACTCGTGCAGACTTTATTTGGGAGCCTGTACACAGGATGGAATTCCCTCTGTCCAAAACTAAGGTTTGGACTCTGGAGGGAGGTGAAATTATGTGGCCAAGGCTGACCTAGTGACCCCTGTTTTTGTTTGAGCATCCAATGTGCTCAGTGATCTCTTTAGCTGTCTTAGACTTTGAACCATGAAGCTGGTATGTTGTCCAAAAAGCATTGCCTTCTGTACAAGTATGCAGCTAGTTCCCTTCTCTTAACGCTCAGATAGCTAGCACTATAAGGAATCCTTATGCACAACTTAAATGGCATTAAATTAAACTTTTTTTTTTTCATCTTTTTACTGATGTTTCTAATGTGTTTTTTTCCTGCAGAATGATTCCCATTTTCTCAGCACTATTCATGAAGTCTACTTGCAAGTCCTAACCAAGAATACAGACAACATCAAGCTATAATCGAAGCTAAATCTGCTTAAAATATATCCATTTTAGAAACAATTATGCCTCGTCTATAAAACTAATATTTTTGTAAAAGAATACTTAGTTTTCAACGTCTTGAATTTGAACCTGTTAGGAAAGACTATTCCTTAAATACTTACGAAAGTAACGTTCTCAGAAGTGATCTAGGTTTTCACTGTGATCATCACCAGCAAACCTTTGTTTTTATTGGGGAGGGGACTTTAAGTTGCATTTGAGCTCTCATTAGCATTAAGTGAATGTGCAAATGTTTGCTCTGGCTTTCATTCCTACCTGTATTCACTGTTCAAGGATTAGAGACTCAATACTATTTAAACCAGCAAATACCTAGTACAGTACACTACACCACACCAGAACAAAATTTAGTTGTGGGAACCTGGTTCCAGTTTGAAGGACTAAGGAAAAGGAGAGCAAAATGCCTTGTGATTAAGTTGGCAGGTGTGGGGAAGGAACAGATCTGGAAGCCAGGCCTTTGGAGAGAAATCTTTAACAAAAGGTTTAAAAATGTGATTTGCTCAATACATTGACAGTCTCTACCTAAGGCACATGAATTCATCTTTTAAATATTCCATTAATCTTATTTGCTTCTGTGTCGCTGACATTAAACAGGTATCCAAGTGAGTAAGGCCATTTTCTCTAAAAAGACAAAATTTGAAGCATGCAAAATCCTCAGTGATTGTATCTTTTTTTTTTTTAAAAGCAACAGAGTTGTTCTGTTGCATGTTGAAGTTCTCTTGTTTTAAATTTATAGTTAGGAGACCACCACTGGAAGACCCTCTTACTGTTCAGCAGTGTTTGATATAATTTAAATACTTTGTTTCCCTTTTAGCTTAAGGATGGACCATGTCATAGTTGGCTTTCATTCCTCGGTTGTGTTGGAACTGCAGTGTTGAAAACTATGCAGATGGGGAACAAATGCATGCTTTTCTTCTGTTGCCCTCTCCCCAAATTGTTAGTGCACACTTCATAGTCTGAAGTTTATCTAATTAAAATGTTATCGCTTCTTATATGTGATTTAATAATTCACTATTCACTAATGTAAGAATTTAACTGGATTTAATTTTCCCATTTGAAATCAGAAAATTTCTAATTATAGTTTCTTATGCTGCTGTGTTGGTTTACCCATGGCTTGTATTTATTTCTTAAAGGCATGCAAAGGTAATTAATAAGACTTCAGGTCCCAACTTTCTCCAGCAATAGTAGTTTTAAAGGATGCTTTTCCAGTAGAAAAGTTCTGGTTTATTGAGTAAAAAGATAATCTGTAGTGAGTTATGCTGCACTGCTGCTTCTTTTCCCTCAAGCACTATTGAAATATGAAGAAAAAAATTGTTTGGCTCCTTACAACATATATGTATGTGTATATATCCTAAGGATTAGTTAATGTTGACATAGTCAAGGTGCATGGTCATTTCATTGGAAACTAGTAACTGAGCTTTAATTGCCACTTATTCACAAATCGGTATGTTTTAGATACAACAAATATTTACATTTTTATGTATTTGATCTATTTTAGTTTTTTTCATAGCTTTTTAGTGGAAAATATATTTTGTTTAGCACTACCTGCCTTCTGAAAAGCTCTTCTCAGCCTTTGAGTTCAGCATTTCCAGTTAAAATATGTAGTATTTTGTTAGAAAAATGTGCAAGATTCAGGGAAAGATGCTAATGTCATGCACATTCATCAAGAAATATATTGGCTTTAATAGTAGCATTTGAATTCAGCAATAAAAACTCAGCCTTGTTAAGGAAGAAGGAGCTTCCTACATAAATTCTGGAGTTATAATACTGTGGATATGCATAAACAATGAGACTCAAATTAGATCTAAGGTCTAAACTAATTTGTTTTGTTGGGTTTTTTAGAAAAAGTTTCACTAAAAGGGACAAACCAATGAGTAGTTCCTCTGAACAAAAAAGGATATCCTAAACCAAATAGAGAGTTGCTTTTTATCTGGATTTAGCAAAGATTAAGTCCGTAACTTCACTTCATATGGACAGCTTCCGGTTTCTTGTTTCTAAGAATAGAAATGTTGGAAGGTGATAGTGCAGATTTGTACTGTTTGCTAAATACAGTCATATCCAAAGAACTATAGAGATGATAGGAAGGAGTTGTATTTTGAGTTCTTCAGTCATATACAGTTGACAAAAGTAATACTGTTTAGAGTAGCAATGCTGTTATGAGAGTTTGACTCTACTTTGAGTATCCTTAACTTGTTTCCAGCTGTCCAGGAACCCCCCACAAGCAGTTGGCAGATCCTCACTTTACTTTGGTTTTGCATTATTGGTTTACTTCCCACCACCACCCCCAACTTTCAAAATTAATTGGAAGAGAAACAGAGTTGAAATCATAGTTACTAGGCACACATTTTTACAACAAGCAAGCCTGTTTTCATCTTGAACACCTGCACATGTTTGTTCTGACCTCTCTACGTGTAGCCAGCAGGCACTGGAACCAACCTAGGTGTCAGCTAATACACCACAGAGATCTATGACAAGTGCCAGGGTAGTGGGTTTAACAGATAAACCTCTTTAATGAAAAGTTGCATTGTAAAACGCAAGCTCAACCACAGTGTAGAATTAGAATTTATTTTTTTTTAAATGTGGACTGTGTTATTTAACAACTTTTTTCCTGATTATTTTAACTTTTTGTATAAATCTAAAATTGCCAGCTTGTCAAAGTGCTTGATTCGTGTTATCCGCATGTAGGGATAACTAGTGTGTAGGAAGTTACCATGGGTCATCACAGGAAATTATTGTGACCATTTTCAAGTGTTGTCTTTTTTTTTTTTAAACTACTGGCTTAATGGGATTTTACCTATTAGTTCTGAGAATTAAAAGATTATTAGTTTAGACTATACTCTCCAAATTAATTGTATTATCTAAGCATGTGTTTTGTGGCTAGCGTTAAGTCACTTTAAAAAAAAAAAAACAACAAAACCAAACAAAACACAACAAACATAAAAACCCAAACCACCTCAAACCTAATCAAAGACAGTTTTAAAACCTACAGCTGATGAATTGTTCAGGAAAATCAAAATTCTCAGTTTTGTAGTTAGACTTTAGCTGCTGTTATTTAACAATGCAAAGTTTATATGAAAGGTGCCTAACAGCTATTAACTTAGAAGCAGTATATCTTTCCAAATTAAACAAGATTTGCAGAATGATTGAATAAAGTTCCAAAAAAATTTAAGTGATTAATTTTGATTTCATATAAAATGTTTAATTCTGTGTATAAATACTCAATATAATATTTAAACACTCGCTGCTGGATGGATCTCATTTTTGCTTGCATTTCTAATTGCTTCATTTTGGTATATTTCTGAAACCCATTATGCCATGTGTAGTCACTGATACAATTTCTGAAATATTTTTGAAAACAAACTTTAATTTGGGACTTCTTGTTTTTAAAAAGTATTCTAAACAAATCAGCCACCTTTTTGCCAGGTATTTGGGTTGCTTTGTACAGCATATCTTAACAGGAGGAATGTGTGCAATATATATCACCTCAGTTTTGTCTGGCAATGTTACGAAAATGTTAAGATGCAATATCTTCCTTTCACTTCAAGTTGGAAAAATTGCAGTATCTCTAATCTGGTGGTGTATTTATTTTTATCTATTCGGTGTATGGGCATATGGTTAGTTAGGGGGTTTTATGTACATTATGTGCTTTTAGTAACTTCTGAGTTCTGTCACTTTTGTGGATGCACCAGTTGTACCCATTTGCATGTTCTTTCAATATGAAGACCATGGGGAAGGGAGGCTTCAGGAAAGATTTCTGGAAACCTGAATGAGAATAATTGTAAGTCAATAAATGTAGATACTGCATCATTAACGTTTTTGGTATGGTATGGATTTTATAGCACCTATGTATGTTTGCAGTTATTAAGTTATTGCATAAATGTTTAAGAATGAACATTTTTCATCCAAAATTTTGTATGTTTGCAAATATATTTTTGTAATAAAACTTCAAAACAAATGTTTCAGCACCTCCTAAAATCTTCCAATGTTTCCTTTTATTTCTAGAGCTCTAGTAGCCTGCTAGAAGGGTAAGTTCAGATTTTATTTAGGGTTAATATTTTCCAGAGAAGAAACTCAAACTCCTTACTTCATACCGGGGGCAAAAACAAATTGCATTTGTTCACTAAAGAAAATGCAGCATGCCTGCTTGAAGGACAGTTGAGAATAGCATCTGCCACTTGTAACAGCTTCTGGCTATCCTCTGTATTGCTGTAAGTAGGCTTGCACTTTGAATTTGATAAACAGACCAATTTTTCCTTTCACGTTAAGAAATGCAGCTGCAAGTTTACCATCTTATAAGTACAGGTGTAACTGGGTTTAGTGCCTTCCCTTATAACTTTTTTTTTATGGTATCCCCTCTCATCCATCTAGACATGGCATACGATATTCAATCCAGTGTTGGTCCTTGATCATAGATGTTGGAAATTGCAGTTGCCCTCTTACCATATCTGATTGGTATCATGCAACTGATCGATCCAAATTTTGCAAAGTAAAATAGGGAAGCTGATGAGGAGGAAACCATAGCAGAAGTTCTGTTGGAATAGATCTTGAAATTAAACAAAACCTCATGCCAAAGTCCCTTAATCTTAGCTAGATGCTTATTCCCATTCGAACTACCCGTAAGAGTTCGAGATTGCAAGGCATACCAAATGTCAGGAGAGGCCACTGAAGAATGGTGTTTGCTGCTCTAGTAGTTAATATTGAACTGGCTCCTGTACTATATACAAAAGCAGATTCTTCTAATAGAAGAATACCATACAAAAAAAGTACAGAAGTCATGGATTTACTGTAAGATAATTGAGAAAAAGTGGAAACAGCTAAGGCCTAGAATCTAACTCTAAATTCTATGTTAGATGTGTTGCCTGTTTAGTCAATATTGAGGAAGTACTTTTTTTCATTGTTGATGCTGTTAACCTTTTTGTCTTTTCTGGATCCATGTACTCCTGGTTACTGTTATTCCTATGAAGTGCTCCCCTTTGGTTTGGAAATAAGATAATACTTCTGACTTACTATGTGTAGCTGCAGCTAAACCAGGCACTGTACAAGAAATTTACGCAGACCAAAATCTTTTTGGCCTTTTCTCTCTTGCTAGTGTGTGCTCTACAGTTGTGTTTTCTGAGAGTGCATGAGAGCATAAAGTCAATCCCTACAATGGTGATACAGCACTAGATAGAATCAAGGAGTAAGCATTAGGCTTCCTAAAACTCATCCACTAAAATTCAAATTTTATTTGCAGGCTTGCAGAATGAAATAACGCAACTGGCTTTTTAAACCAAGTTGTAGCTCATGTTCATGGGCCAAATTAATTGAAGTCAGTGGACTCATGTATTTGGTAAGGATTCAACTATACTTCATTCTCAATATACAATATACTGGGGGGGTTAACGCTAGTATAGAGGATAAGAAACCTGTCATTCATATAACTTCTTAATTTATGAACAGGATGCAGTCAAATCACTAAATACAGTCTTGAGTATAGCTGAGGTAAATTTCTCAAGTTTAGTGACCTAATCTGAAATTCAAAAGATTAGAAATTATAACATATGTTAAACAATTTTGACAGTTATTTTCAGCGCCCAATAGTGGATTTTTTTTCTCCTATCTTCACACAACTTCAAGTGTGAATCAGGTTTTTTTCTCTCTTTCAGATTTTATGATTGAGGGATTTACTTTTGAACTGACCTACTAATTTAGGAGAATTAAACTTCAGTGATAGACCTGTAACTGAAATATGGTTATTAACTGTAAAGCTCATCCTTGTCAGATATGCAACAATTTTTCACTTCCTCTTAGAATCCTTCTTCATATGGGACAATTACATTCAAAAAGCATTGGGAAAAAAGGGCAGTGAAGAGATATTTTTATCAGTTGCTGCATTTTTGAAAGAGCATTTGCAATAAAATGAAAGGGGAAGGACCAGTGAGTAGAAGATTCCTGAGAAGTGAACAAGGGAAGGAATAGCAAAAGAGGGTAAGTAAATGTGAAGGGAATATTGTAGAGAGACAAGTATGGCCTGTGAAGGTATTTCCTGAAGCACAGAAGAATTTAAGTTATAGTTCTGTTTCTGTACTGCTATATGTCATCTTCAGGTATTCCCAAAGCTCAAATGTGGTTTGCCTGTAAGAATCCAGAATATTTCAGTGTGTGTTCAAAACCAGACTGGTTAGGCATGATTTCCTTGCTGTAATTCCTGAGGCAGCAATACATAATTTGCCAGGTCTGCTGTGGGTTTTTTTAACCTCCAGTTATGAAGCAGCATAATGGAGTTGGTTGATTTTTATCTTTGCTTGATGGCCTCGCATTACGGCTTAATCTGCTACATAGAGCAAGGCTGCTTATACCTAGTTGCCCTCTATCTTTCATTTTAAACAGACCTTTAAAAATATTTCTACCATAATCCATTCTTTAAATTCAAGAAGCTCCATTTTACAAAACCAACCTTGGGAAATACAACCACAAAAGAATAAGTTTTCTTTATATGCTGGCTGAAATGAAAGCACTTGCCCTTAGGCCTTACTTGAAAACATGCAGGTTTGTGATGTAAATGCACAAGTTCTGTTTTTTTTCTCCTCATAAATAAGTCAAGAAGCTTTAAGAGTATCTACAGAGCAAAGATCTCCCAGCCGGTCTCATGTATGCAAAACTCTGTCGTCTTAATTTAGAGAGTATATGGCTTGCACATCCTGCTTTACTTCTCGTGGCTCGTAAGAGGGATGGGAAAGGCTTAGCAGGTTATCCATCTGACTTTCTTGTGTAGACTTGAGATTTACTGATAATGCTAAGTGCCTTCTCTAGTTTACTTCTTAAGCATCAAATAAATTAGCTTCTGTTCTCTGGAGAGACAGTTCTCCCATATAACAAAATTGCTGTAAAGGAAGCTTCTGCTATCTTAAACTTACTACAAGAATTGAGATACAAGGGTAAAATTAAAGCCTACAGGATTCAGATGTGTACAGAATCTGTTGTGGTTTACAGCAAG